CCACGTTCTTGGTAGTATATTGGCCCCGTCAACATACTCTCCCCACATACAGCCAGTACCACCTATCACTAACTCTTTTTGTTCTTCAGTACCTGGAAAAAAATATCCAATCAAAAACACGATTAAAAAATTTTAATTCTATAATCATTTGACACCCTGAGAGAAGGAGGAGGGGAGGCGGCCCAAGCTCTCCTTGAAAACCACACAAGGAACACAATTTGCATATCGATTTATAAGGATTTGTATGGGATTTTCTACAAGATATCCATAGAGATAGTTAAAAGTGATAATAAATAAAAGTGGCTTACCTTAATCCTGGTTTTCTCTTCTTAAAGAGGAGCAAGCAACACACCAGGAGCAAGCAACACACGTATGGAATAAGGTAAGCTAGTTTTATTTAATATTTTCACTTTTGACTATCTCTATGGATATCTTGTAGAAAATCCCATACAAATCCTTATAAATCGATATGCAAATTGTGTTCCTTGTGTGGTTCTCAAAGAGAGCTTAGGCCGCCTGTGGGGATACAGACAGCTACAGTTCCATAGTCTTGTTGAAATCGCTAGGTTCACACATGCGATGATGAAATGAATGGCGAGGCATCCATCAGCCAAACACTAACTGAATGTCGATTAAGTAAAACAGCAGTAGCAGGGTAGTTTGGATTACATAAACGTCTGACAAGGTGGTCCATTAAGGCTTAACTTTCTATGATAAAGGAAAACTGACGCTCTCATGCCCGTAGAAAACGATTTTTAAGAGGAGAAAACAACAAGAACAACACACCCACATGAAATATGAACAACAAGTTCCATAGCCAAAGAAGTTTTAAACATCTATCTTACCAGTGAAGTCTGTTGGTTCACAGGTGTAATACTACAAAAACAATCCTACAGAAAATATTTTAAAATTTACAAGGAAAAGAATCAACAAGACTAAACGAAGCAAAAGCAAAGAGAATCAAGAAAAACTGGTGATGGAGAATGTTTCCTGCAACGCTTCAGATCGACAACTAGTTTTCACAAAAGCTGTTACTTAACTGCTAACGCGCCCGTCGATATAACGCAGTGGTTTCTCTCAAAAATATCTCCTCGATTTTCAACTTGCTAATCATATTACTACACTGACGATAGATACACTGGTTTGCAATCACGAAAATAGTGGAATGCGCTTCAACCCCGAGCTGTCTATATTTTATCACAACCTTCAAGTACAGGTTATAAGTGCTAAGCGCCCTTAGCACTTTATTTCTGCTATTTACTTAAACCTGGGTTATGCATGAAGGGTTATGCATGAAACTCCTGTAAAAAATATTTAATAATAAACGTTTTACGTTCCTTGCCGTCTTCTCTAGCGCCAGGGGAAAAAAAAGAGAACCCGCCGAAAACTCAACGGTCAAATGAGTGTGCTTGCGCAAATGCTGCAGGCGCAAAGAGACGGCTTCGAGTATTCTGTAATAGGTAAGGAGAAATACCAAAAAACCTAACCCTCCTGCACGAACGATGTTTTGAAAACTTATAACACTTTTAGTACAGCTCAAAGCCATAGTTAATCGAGGTCAATGCCACGTGACTAATGAAAAATCATAACAATAACATGCGCCTTTGAAGTTCGCCGGTCTTCATAACCAATCCCCTCGATTAACTAAGTCAAAACCAAATGGTAACGTATAACAGTACGTGCAACTGAATTATCTTTTAAGAAGAAAGAAAACTCTACTCCAATTTCCGTGGCACTGTTTCTTTCTAGCATTTTCCATAACCTGTTAGCGCGAAAAATTAGCGCGCGGCCAACCAAAACAATCTATTACGCATGCCCGGCGATTGACCGCTGTGTTTCCCAGGAAAAAAAAAATGGAATCATGCTCCTAAATACCTTGTCCCAGTCAATTCTATATTTTATTCTGTTCAGGTACCAACAAGCCGACAGAATTGTTCTCAGTCCCTTCTTTGTGACTTTTTCCATTTCCTTTTTCCAGCCCGCTTTCCAAATATTCACCACAGTATCTGGGAGTACTTTAATGTCATTATCCACAACTTCTTGCCACACAATATAACTTTTACCAAGTCCCTCCACGATCGACAGCAGACTGAAAATTAAAGGAAAGATCAACCCAGTTTCAGGTGGTTCACTAAGAGGTCTTTCAACCCCAATATACATATGTACAAAATACAAACTTTTTGGCTAGTATGCTCTTCCAACTAGTTTCGTTTGTCTCCACAGAATGTCTTTAAATCTTTATCGACCGCTGATCTCTCCTACGCCAAATTCCGGGGGCTGCAAGCAATGTCTGCGTTGTGATTGGTAGATTTAGCTTTACTACAGCCTTGTGATTGCCATTTATGAAGTTTAAGGTTTCAATTTGTGATAACTTAACAACTATTCACCGAAGAGGAGCGCTCGAGTTGGCTGACAGTGGATGATATCCACCGCTAGTCACCAACAGCATGTACTAAAACGGTGACATAATGATAAAACACAATATTTTCGGGCGCAAATCCCGCGCGAGTTGCTCAGAGGTGAATAGCAAAGGAGTCTGAGTAGTCAATCAGAGCGCGCCTTTAACGTTATACACTGATTTAAAAAAGATATTGCGTAATGTTGCAATGACGAAACATCTTTTGATTGATTGGAGTTCTGATCTTCAGCAGCCACTGTCAAGACAAATGAGCTTTATCCCACGTTTCTCGGACTTTAAAAAAGGCGAAAATTGATATTCAAGCACCTTTGAAATAAACTGATTTAATTTATAGTCTACAAGATGAGAAATAAAAAGGAAACATAGCCCAAGGTTTGTTCTTACTGTTGCTCATAATACTGCTCCAGCAAAGAATAGTTTTGTCCATATCCCATTTTCTTCATCCACGTTGTAATGTTCGGATTACTTGCCCTAGCAAATGATAACAAAATGTGACAATAGACGTCAGTATAAAGAACAAAGGAACCAAATTTAATCACATATGTGTATATCGCATTGACAACGGTTGATCTCTGATGAAGCGTTATGAAAACCTTCTTTTGCTGGTGCCTAAATGATGCTCACTTCAAACAGCATAAAATAAGGCAGAAATGAACATTTCATCGATCAAAACGGATCCAATATATACAGAGAAAGGAATCGGAGGAGAAGAAACTGTGGAGACCGAATACAACTTCGTTTCTTTACCCATCGAGTATGAATATCCACTCGCAAGATATCAAGCAAATTAATACAAACGGTTGGGGCAAAGGGGGAGTTCGTGAAGAGCCAAAGTTGCAACATTATCATATCATACCAACATGTGTCCCTAACTTCATCTCCTCCTAAGTGTAGATATTGATCAGGAAACTTTTCAGCAACTTCAGAAAAGAATTTCTTCAGGAAAGTGTAAGTAGAGTCCAGGGTTGGATTGATTGGTCCAAATGTTCTGAAAATAAGGAAACAACAAAAATTAAGGAGAAAGATTAACTAACAGGGATAGAGTGTGAGTGTCCATTTCGGAGAGCTTTCCCTCTCGTAGCGTGGTGATCATTGACAAACATCTGACAGTCTAGACTTCTGCGTATCATACCAGAGTTGAGAATTTAAAGGTAGCGTGGAAAAGTAGGATGAAAAGAAAGATAAAGAGCAGAGGGAAGAGGACTGAATGGCAGCAGGGCTTTGGATGATTAATCTCAATCTTCTATTTAAAACTTCTTATGCCTTAGCTGCACGTGTTCACAGCCTCCTGCTTGCTGTTTTAAGGCACATACACTACTGCCAAAAAAAGGAGTCCTAGCTAAGGTCTAATGAAATCAACAATATGTAGAGAAATATAAGCCATGCTCATGATCCCCCCGGCAACAATAAACAAAAACAAAAACAAAAGAGTAATATTTTCTTGGTAGTTACGGAAACGAAGACTCCCAAAAACGAAGACCTAAGCCCCCCTACGAAAACGAAGACCCATTACGAAAACGAAGACCCATTACGGAAACAATAAAAACAATAAAAACAATAAAGCAATACAGAAACAAGACACCTGAATTCTTTGCCGGCGAAAGCCACAGGGAGTAATGGTGTTTTAGTACTGTGTCTTCGTTTTCCGGTGATGGGTCTTCGTTTTTGTGACATTTAGGTCTTCGTTTTCGCAAAGGGTCTTCGTTTTCGTAGGGGGTCTTCGTTTTCGTAATGGGTCTTCGTTTTCGTAGGGGGGTCTTAGGTCTTCGTTTTCGGGGTCTTCGTTTCCGTAACTACCATTTTCTTACCCTGATGGTTTTCCTTCAGAATAACAAGGCGTTAAGAGGTTTTCTATACTTCCCCAGGACCTTGTGTGACCCTACATGGAAAATACAAACCACAAAAACTGACTCTGCTCTTAATTATCAAGACCGAATGATGGCAATAATATTGTGTATATCTAATTGACTACTTTCCTGATGCAGCTTTTCAGAACAAATACAAAAAAAATTGGAATCATTGTAAAATAAACTTGGTGTTTAAAAATCCTAGCTGGCAGGAAGAAGACCAATTGGTGATATACAAAGTGCAGCAAAGGAGCCGATTTTGGGACAACTGAGAAAGGTGAAAGGTTTCAACCTGAGAACACCAGATAACAAGTCCAGCAATTCCTCATCACTTCTTCATATTGGCTAGTTATCCCCTGCCACACCTTAATTGTGTAACACAACCAACAAAAAAGACAGTGAATCTGTTTGGGAATCTTTTATGCATAAACAAGGAGTCCTTGAGGGCTTGAAAAAAATGCCCTCAGGGTGGGAGGGCAAAGAAACAACTACAGTGAGTGAAGGAACAAAATGAGAGATCAATTAAATGTCTGTCAACATCTGGCCAGGTGCAGCATGTGAGCTTGGGGCTAATTTATTTATTCCCCTTGGAATATAAACCCTTTTTCATTCAGAAGTAGATTGTTTACATTTCAAAGAGGGAGAGTCAGGGATTTGGTACTTGTAAGCGGCCAGTATAGCAAAATGAAATAGCAGAAGAGGAAGTAGAGTCAATTCAATTTGGTGATGGATATTTAGAGTTGGAAACTTAATATATTTGACAGCTGAAAAATATAACCATGTCTGATTTTGTGTTAGACTTAAATATATATGACTCTTTTGTGTGTTGACTGGCCTGCAAAAATTTGTATCTAATTCATCAAAACACAAAATTAATCCCTAAAGGATTAAAGTACATGTACACATAAATTGTATCATTTGTGTACTCACTGGTGTATCAAATTCTGGGACAACTCTGATTCCACGCATCCTTCCATATTCCACAATATCGCTTACATTGTCTTTTGTGAAGATATGAGTTTTATTGTTGTATGCACCCTTTAAAATTGAAGCACCAAATGCAATCAAGAAATTCAAAGCTGGAGAGAGAATTTCCTTAGAACGTTATAATAAAAGTGTATAGAGGGTAAGTTTCTAATAATAATAAGAAACTGTGGTGCTGCATTTGGGGCAGGGGGGTGGGGGTGGGGGTAATAAGGAGTTTCTGATAAAAGCTTTAAAAATAGGGGCCAATTTACATTATCAACTCAGTTGATAAAAACAAATTTATAATAAATCAAAAGTACCTCCAGTAAATTTAATACTAACATTAACAATCGATAATTGAAGTGAAAAAATTTTGATACCTGCCCACTTAGCTGTGGAAAAGTTTCACTGACAAAAGGAAAGGATTGGTCATCCACGACATGCCAATGAAGGACATTAAACTTACTGTATGTCAGTGCATCCTAAAATTCGAAAAAAGGAAAAAACCTACAAATGATCATTGAGATTACTCATGTGCAAAGTCCTTTACAAATATTTGAAGAGGTAAAGTATGAAGACAGTGTCTATAAAAACTAATATGGACATTGAACACAAATCAGTTCAGAAGCATTTAAATCGTAAGTTTTGGTATAGAAATATCTAGAAAAGAACTTTCACAGGTCAACTGGTTCCCCTTTATGTCTACACCCCTGCAAGGAATATGCACCCTTAGGCTAAAACTCATGCATAGGATTAAGTGCATATATATCCTTAGGCTAAATATCATGCTTAGGAAAGAGTGAAAGACACATGCAACTACGAGGTCTAGCATTGAAATCTTATTTTACAGCCATTTGAACAACAAAGTATAAGGCTTCTTAATATCAGTGTATTCCAAATTCTCTCAGATTGTCTGACACAATTAATCTTCTGGTTTCATGCACAATTCCTTGAATCTCCTTCATTTGGTAACCATTTGTTTGGATACTTTTTCTACAGAGTGAGGACATTATTTACAAAGTTTTATCTTCACTGGCAAAACTTTTTAATCTTGTGATCAAGAGTGGTTGAATTTTTTTTAATATTTTGCATTGTTGAGCAAAGGTTAGTCTATTTCAGTGACTTAGTTCATGGGGAGAGAATGAGTTTGGGCAGTTCCCCCCCCCCCCCAAACAAAAAAAGACCTACAAAATCATAGGATTGGGCAAGGGTAGGTGATCCAAAATCAAACATTTCCAGATCTACGTGGAGGATATCTAAGGAATAGTACAGTACCTATGACTTCTAACAAAACAAATTTCTTAAAACATCAGCAGATTAAAGGGTACTAATTGAATTTGTACAACTAAATGATAAAATTTCTAGAAGTAACAATAACGATAAAACATTCTCACAATAAACTTGAGGATAATAGATGGATGTAAGTAGTGCCTTGAAGTGTCAATCATGAACCCTCTGTGTTGAAATCTTGGATGATCAACTATTTTTGAGCCATTAGCCAGATACTACAAAAAAAAAAAAAAAGAAAGAAAAAGAAAACAATGACAATTTTGAAGTTTTTTTCAAAAAGAACTTAAATATTGTGTTCAGTAACCTTCTTTGCATTTTTATATTTTTTAAGTTAAAAGTGCAAGAAACAAAGTTAATTTTTGATGTTCAATCAAATATCAACTAATGATTATAGAAGAAACAAATAATGAATATATGGATAAACAGGTCACTGCTTACCAGTCCTTCTTGATCTTGATAAACCACTTGACTAAATGTTTCGAGACCTGTAGAAAAAATAAAATATTATAATGCAAAAAATAATAATAATAATAAAACGAGTATAAATTTTCAGCTTTAATTCATATAAAAGGCTAAAAACAATTTCAGTTTTAAGTATATTTTATGATCAGTCAACCAAGTCTGCTGATCTGCCATCTAATTTAAAATAGGGTCAGTGTGTTAACTGAAATACTGCAGAGCCTTATCAATTTTATAAACACAACTTTCAACTCTCTTCATTTGTTTCAGAAATTCCAGGAAAATTAACTAGGTGTTACCTTCTTACAATAATTGCCTGTTTCCTCACCGGTGACATGCATTGAACAGTGTGGATTGCACATCACAACTAATACATTTACCTCGTAATGCACCCCACACTGTTTTGGCCGTCAAAGAAGAAGTAGGTGCATCAACAACAAGGGTATCTAAAGGAAAAAAAGGAAAAATCATTTCCACTGACTGCATGTGTACACTGCAATCAATACCCCCCTTAAACCAGACACGTCATCCTCCCTTCTCCTCCCCCCCCTCCTTGCCACAGGGGCACTACCCTCTAAAGGCTACACCTTTTCTTTTTTCAATAAGAACCTTTTTAGAAGAACATTCAGATTGAGATTAACCAAAATTTAAGAACATAGTATACTAAGAACACATCCAGGCTGAGAGTCAATTACAAATGGCTCTTTTTTTATTTTGGTGAGAAGTATAAATAATTGTAAAAGAAATGTAAAACTGTGGTCTAACAGGACAATTAACTCAATTAAATGCTTAAGGACATTTTTTAACATTAGCAATGTCCTACGCATGATACTCTGAAGAACAACTCAGTTTGTAGTCGAACTTGGCCTGAGCACGACTGAATTGATTAATTACCACACAACTTAAGAACTTGTTAAGAAAGTTTTCAAGCTCAAATTTTCCAAAAAAAATTACAACATTTAGCCTCAGGCCCAAAATTAGATGTTCTTATATGTATACAGAAAGAGTGTATACTTGTGAACTAGTTTGAGTTCCCTTTTGCTTGCAATTAACATGGTATTAATTGTTCTGTCTGGGTCTCAAATCAACTAGGGTATGAACACTCTGAAATGAACACTCTAGAATGTTGTCTGGAATTAGGTGTGATTTATAGGCAGACACAAATGCTTTACTTTAATAATTGAGGTCTGATAAAGGAAAGGGAAAGTCACCTGTTCTGGTCTAAAATATAATAACGGTTTTAAGAATCATTCTGCATATCCCCCGGATTTTTCCTGGGGTAACCGCACACCTTGGTTCCACCCCACCCCCTCCCTAATTCGAATTATGTAATTATGTTCCACATATCTCCAGCTCAAGCGCCAAGATATAATCAAAGAGGGAAAGTCAGGTAAAGCCTTAAAAAATGTTTTCGAAATAAAGACAGATTTATAGATGATCTTACACTTACAGGACTCATCAGATTCTAGTGACAGCGGAGCGTATTTGTCCAACACCTTTACTGTCAGTTTAATAATTTGCGACAGTCCGCCTTTAGGTTTTTCAACTGGATCTGGAAAAACCAAAACCTTGTAGCGAATTAACGCTTGTTTCAGTACATCACTGGTTTCACCCGTTGAATCGAAAGAAAAATTATTCGATGTGAGTGAGTAGACCTTGCCGGTTGCGTTGTAAGATTGGGGCTTCGGCCAGATCGATCCCGTCACGTAATCGATCGCTGATACCTCTTCATCTTCGCCTTCTGCTTCTTCTTCCCACGGTTCAGAAAGACTGCCTGAACAACTCGTCAAAGCAAGAGCCACGAAAAACAGCCTCAGAGCAAACATTATTCAGACGGTAGATTTTGGAGAGAGCGTTGAATGGTGCGGCCGTTGCCACCGACAAAACAGTCATGAGACAGTCGGGTGATTTCGATCACGTGACCAGAGTAACGACACTCTTTTTACGGTACGGGTATAAAGCATAAAAGTATAGCGAACTCAGTAGAGGCCTAAGAATCGGCCCCCGTCGACTCTTCGCAACTATTGGCTACTTTTAAGTCCCATTCCCTAAAAAATAACTACTTAATATAGGCGGAAGAATTACATGAACAAACATAGCGTATAATTACACAACGTAGATTATTTGTGATGGTAATATCACTTCGAAAAAGGTTCTTACATGTAATTGGTGGCCTGTGCTTGGCGATTCGTTGGTGTAAATGAAATAAGCGACAGAGTGGGTGTGTGAAAGAGATGGGATGGGTGTCTGGCAAAGGAAAAAAAAATAAGAAAAAACGCTTTTTAAAAATTGTAATAAATTTTAAAAGCAGGAAGAACCGTTTCCCTGACAACCATAAGGTCGTGTATGGCTTGCCCATTCTCTTTTGAATGAGAACCTAATAATGGCTAGGTTTCGGATTAAGAAAACTCGGCGAAGCACTATGGGATATGATCAATAAATCTGGATTGGTCAAAATATAAATACAATTCGTCCATGTAGTACACAGAGTAAAAATCACATCATAGGTAGTAAACAAAATGACAAAAAAAACTTATATTTCCTGTCACTGGATTGGCAAGTTTTGTTCAGCTGACCCTGCCAACAGTAGTCACACATTAGTCACTCAGTGCGACCAACAATGATTCTTCAAATTTAAACTTCGTTATGACCTTGCTGATACTTGTTCACGGGTGTGGTTATGAACTCATTAGCAGAGTAACGGTTTCACCTCTATTTCTTGTCTCTTGTTGTTGTTGTTGTTGTTGTTCACTTATTTTTTCTTTACTTTAATTTTTGATGAAATGAATTTCAAATTTTCGATTTTAGTTTATTCGGAGGCACACTAGGTATGGATGGAGTAAGGTAAAAATTTGCAGTTGAGGGCGTCATTATGGCTTTGTAGTATATTGTAATGCTGGGTTCTTCAAGGCGATTTCAACTTCTCAGTGCAATCAAATGTTGTCTTGTCATTTTACTGTTCCGTTACTATTGCGCAATTTACTATTAAGCGGTCGATTAAAAAATGAGTCTCTACTTTTAGTTAGAATTTCGAAAATGGCTGCATGTGTTTACCGTCTCGTAGAGCGCCAGACCTCAAACTCAACATAACGCATAAAAGTAGCGTCGATTTCCAAACGTAAATTAAAATTATTTGACACCGCGGTTTCGCAAATTTTGGTGATTTCACGTTGCTGTTTTGCAAGGGACGGCTAAGAAACGTACAAAGTTTTAAAACGCACGTGCTGGGCTATTGTTCTGCCAATTAGATCTATTGTTTTTTTCTCGTTCTCGTTGCCGTAGCCGTCGTGGTTCGCTTAAAGTCCCTATTAACCAGAAAAGGTTGCTACCAGGAATATGTACTTAACATTGTCCACTTAGAGTGGTATCACAAAAGGACAGATGTGCATGTGCACAAATTGAAAAGGCGGCGAGTACGAAGCGATATTTACAAAGTGTAGTTGAAAGAACTTGCTGTTGGCTTTTCGGCATTTTTTTTTTTTTTTTTTCAATCATTACAATGGACGTTGGACGGTCTCAAATAGACTAAATGCCCGGCTGTCAGAAATTTTCACAGAATATCCCAATGAAAGGATATCCTTCGAACTCCTTAAGAATATCAGATGTTCGTTTAGAAATGTCAAGCGATTCCTAAAGTAATCCTTTTTCAATAAACAAATTCTCCGAGCCTGTACATTTTATAGTACTACTCGGCTGTCGACACTTAGAAATTTTAAAGCTTCTAATCAGAGGTTATCAAGCTACCGGGCACCATCCCGATCTCGGTCACGTTTTCCCGTAACGAAACGACAATATTAGGGACCTTTAGCATCGCGCTTAGTACTTCAACCGGCAAACGGCTGCTACGGTTTGAGGTTTCCCGTTTCCCGTTTGCCGTCGTCACCAAAATTTACTTGTCAGGGACGTTGCCCGCTGAACTTACAAGTCGTACGATAATTGCCACTTGTTCAAATGTCGCAACAACATCGCATATATAGGCAGAAATTGTAATTAGCTTCTTGCTTCTACTTCCTACGTTGCCAAGCTAAGTATTTTTTTTAATTCCAAAGCTGTGGCTATAATTTAGTTACTATTTTGAAATCAAACGTGTGACAAGAGGGAAAGGGTTTTTTTTTTTTTTTTAACCTGTTTGGAAAGTCGACGTTCGTGATGCCGACTTTAAGTCATGTGGTACATTCGCCAACAGTGTGAAGAAAAACGGCTTTCCTTCAAAAAGACAGGAAGAATGGCGTCAACTTAATCTTTCCCACTTTTAAATAACTAACTGAGGTACATGAAGGGTTTCACAAGTCAAAATTATTTTCCTCGACAAACCCGTCGCCACTACTTACTTGTTTCCATCCTGCAACTACAAAGCTGCCTCCCAAGCAGGTTAAAACAGCAAATAATCATTTTGTTTCTTGTTTCTATAAAAATGTGGTCTATCAACTTCAAGAAAAACGAGTGTCAAAGAATGATAGCCCGTCTTTTGCGAAAACATACAATACGAACGACAGAACAAAACATCCGCTGCTTTGAGAATCAGTTTATTGACTTCTTTGAAATCTTGCTGCATCGAGCTTCTGAAAAATATGTTCATCGTTCAGTATATGGGTGAGCATCTCATTTAGCCGGGAACCTCCTGAGCAACCTGGGGAGAGAAAGTACATGGTGACGAGATTTTAGTAAATGAAGATGGACCTTTCTCGCCTCGTTGCTTTGTTGTACAATTTGAGGCAACGGAATGAAGGAAACGACCAGAACGATTACTGAACTTTACACCCTTTGAATTCTCAAAGAAATTTAAGAAAAAATCACTGGCTATAAACAAGGTGAAATTTTCAATATATTGAAAATCAAAAGCAATCTGGGATTGTAGCTTAGTAGTGGTACGGGGTAGCAATGAGATAGGTAACCAAAAGAGAGCAATATTCGGGTCGCGTAAACGGCGAGAACGATGTGCTTTTACCAAATATGGTCATTAATAGGGCGCTTGGATTTATAACGCAATCCCCAGTTATAAGTAGTCACGCATGCAAATGAATGTCTACTTGTCACGCAGGGAGTCATATAAATTAGTGATCACCGTCTGACTATAGTGCCGCCCTTTGCTGTTGACCCACCATAACTTTACGAACTACTCATAAGATTTAATCACCCGCGCATTCCTGGGCTAGAGTCACAAATATTCACTTTGACTTCTGATTAGCTCCTTCTGATGTCAACCTTTTTCTGATTGGCTATTGTGATAATGTCGGGTTTAGCACTCTTATCACACACCTCAAGCAATGTTATCTGCCACGTTTTGGGGAGCCTGGGCCTACATTTTCTTCCCTTGTTGACGGCGGAGAATTCAGCTTCGGCCTACGACAAATGAGATCAATATTTTAAAATCTCTAGCACACGAATTGAAAACGTGGAGCAAAGGGTCGTGGCATAATTTTCAAGTCTGTTAAACATTATTCTCGAAATCTTTTGAAAATTCAGATCTCATGAAAAAATACATAATGGAGTGTAGCCTTTTGACAGAATCTTGGTCTATTCAGACAAGCAAAAAAGGAGTAAACAAACAACGGCGGGGTATCAATTTAGGATGACGTTCTCCTGTTACCCCCGCTATTTTTGCTCCACACCCACAAACTGAGAGCGTGGTATGGGCAAAAACAATCAAGATATGACTTTGCACTGAGGGAAATACCGCATTAAGTTCGACTCAGGCTATTGTTATTCTCCAAGAAGCCTGGTTCAAGGTCTCACAAAATGACTATTGATGAGGCTTGAACCCAGATCTCTGGACCGGGAGTTGACCGCCCTGACCATTGGGGCCACCCACGTGTCTCATTAATTCATTACTCACCGCTTTCTTCTCCGTTTGTCGCCGTGTGATGGGCTGTGCTTCTGCTTCTCCTTGCACCTGTCTTCTTCTGAATCTGTTGACTCAGACTCTGATGAATCACTGGAGGATGATGACGAAGAAGAAGAGGAAGAAGAAGCCGAGGAGGACGAGTCGGACTGGACACCAGTGGGTTCATCAATATGCACACTGTCTGCTATTTCTGCTATCTCCGGTCTTTCTTTCTGTTCAAAAAGACAATGACTTATATTAGTACCCTGGAAGAGGGGGAGGTCAGTATCTTAACACCCCTCGTGACACCCTCCTCCAGGAAAAGGTTTCCAAGTGGACCTCCGAAGAGGCTGCCAGCTTCCATTTCTTTTCAGTCGAGTGGAAGAAGCATGAACTTAGCGTAAGGGAAGCGGGCCTGAGGCACAAGAAAGTAACAAAAATAAAAAGGAAAGAAAAGATATAGTAGGCTCGTCTACTGTCCTCGCTCTGTTAAGTATGATCCATGAGTGGCTCCTAGCAACAGACGGAAATAGTGCATCTGTGCGTGTTTTTCTTTTTGATTACCGCAAGGCTTTCGATTTCATTGATCACGGAACTTTGGCGGCTAAACTTAGGGTGGTTGGGGTCCCCCACACTATCGTCAATTGGATCCTGGACTTCTTGTCAGATCGGACCCAGAGGGTTAAACTCAGCCGCGACTGTGTGTCTGAATGGGGTGCGGTGCCAGCGGGTGTCCCCAAAGGAACCAAATTGGGGCCCTGGCTTTTTTTGCTTATGATCAACGACCTCTTAACCCCCAGTGCGTCCTTTGGGACGTGGAAGTAAGTGGACGATACCAACCCTGTCAGAAAAAGTACCGAAGGGGAGACAAACTAGAGCACAAGAAGCAGTGGACCACGTTTCCAACTGGTCAGCGGACAACTTATTCCAGCTAAACCTTGAGAAGACTAAAGAGCTTACTATCAGTTTCTGTCGTTCCCCGGAACTTTTCGACCCAGTTATAGTTTATGGGACTCAGATCCAAGCGACTACTTTTAGCAAGTTTCTTGGCCTTACCATCAAGAACACACTAACATTAAACGATCGTGTAGATAGTTTAGTTAAGAAAGCAGCTAGGAAAATTCATTTCCTTGTGCAACTTAATCGTGCACGTGTTCCAGCCGAAGATCTAGTTGCCTACTACTGCGCATATATTAGATCCTTCCTTGACTACGTTTGCCCTGTGTTCCATTATTCTCTACCTCAGTACGTACAGTCAGAGTTAGAAAGATTTCAGAAAAGAGCTCTGGCGTGTATTTTTCCTAGAATGCCGTACAGGGAAGCGTTAGAGCGCGCCTGTTTGACTTCTATCAGGGAACATCACGAAGACGTTACAAAGTCGTTATTTAAATCAATCAGCGAGAATCAGAACAGTAAACTACATTACTTAATTCCTGAAGCCCATAGCCCTCATTATAATTTAAGGCCCCAAACAACGTACAATGTACCAGCAGCCAAGACAAAGCGTTTTGCTAATTCGTTTTTCGTGAAGGGTGCGGCTGTAGAGAACTTTTAATAGAACTTTAAGTCATTATATTGTATATTTGTATAGAAGTAGTTGGTAAAAAATTGCGCAATTCAGTATTTTTACTGCGATGTGATTTTAATAAACCAGACTATCAATCTATCTATCTATCTATCTATCGATGTAAAAAGAACATGAAGGGAAGGGGTAAGAGTGGGTTACTGAAACGGCACAGCTCACACTCTCACCTCTCGAATTGGCGATAGGAAGAGGTCTCTAAAACCATGGAGACCAGACTAAGCCAGGCCCTTTGAGCAGTTTTATGACAGCTGAAGAAGTGTTGCATGTAAACCAAATGTAGAATACTTAATTCCACATATAAAGTTAATAAATTCAACACACCTTCAACCTCTTGTACCATTTTTTAGAGAGTTTAGGTCTTCCTCTGAAAAACAAAATATTCTAATGATTCGTTTTGTGATCGTAATCAAATTTTGCCAGCAACATCAATAATGACAACTTTATAGCAAACAATCCAAAAAATAAACAAACCACAGGCACAACAGTGATTAGAACACATGCAAGAAAAAGCTTTGAGAAACTTTGTAGGTCATACTGATGGCAGTTTGAAATTTCTTGCTGTTTGGATGCCTATAGCCTCAATCATGAAATTAACTTAACAGTAAGTAAACTCTCTACTGTATTTAATAGTTTTTCTGTCAATAAATGTTGCAGAAAAAAAAAATAAAAAAATAAACGTATCCAACAACAAACTACTAACAGCCATCATCCTCTACACATTGTACATACCCCATTGAAAAACACTTTCATTTCAAAATATACAAGAAAATAGATATGTCAAAAGAGCTTTGATACAAAACTATAATGGACTGCTAAGGAGGATCCATCATTGTAAAATAACATTCTCATTTGTGCCACCACACAACAGATTTCCACATACATTACATTACCAAGACTAATAAAATTTGAGGTAAATAAAGTTGTTGCAGGTCTACTTTATGAGTAAGTTTTTACATCAAATATTACAACATAAGGAATACCTGACTGTTTTGTGCCAAACAATGTTAAAATTAACAGGTGAGCAAAAATTCTGTGTGACAGCAATTGTTGTGTCCAAGTTTATAACTACATGCCACCATCCACCTGGAATAAACACTGTTTCACCTGGGCAGTGAAGGATCTCAAGCTTAAATGGAAAAAAAAATCATAAAGAAGGAATGACTGACTCTCAGCCTTGATTATTATAATCCTAGCCTTCTGATTGGTTCAGCAAATCTTGGTTATCAGCTCAGCTGCTATTAGTTTCTCCCGCCCTTTAATTCCCAGCAGTGAGCAGTGATTAACATGTAACTTCCCCTTATAATATCCTTACATTATGCAGCAAACAGGTAATGAGAATACTCAAACTTATCACGACAGGTAGAAGTTGTTCTCTTGGTCTAACACCAAATTCTCATAGCTAATTTAAAAAGAAATGAGAAGCAGCTAGAGTGGAGAAATAACAATCAGGTCTTGGAGTTAAGACTTCTCAAGTGACCTTGAGAAGATTTTTCAAGGTAGAGAGCAAGAAATAATATCAACACAATACTTCAGTGTTCTCTTTCCCTTTAAATTAACATGAGCAAATTTCTTTTCAAAATGAGAGACTGAAATTTACATCTCCCCACAGTTCATATACTCATATTAAGTAATCTTACTGTTGAAGAAAAAACTAGCAACTGAAGGTAGTCTTACTGGTTTATACTCCTCAGGCCAAGAGGGAAGTTGTGTCTTGGGAAAAATTTTGGTGAACCACGTAATAGCTTCATCTCTTTGATCACCACCCTCTGCACTAGTTACTTTTAGAAGATCCCTGGGAACATTTGTTGGGAACAATGCCCAGCGCTTGTGACCTGATACAAGACTGTTCCATGCACTTGTTCCCAGAGGATCAATGTGAATACCAGTGCCTGATCTGGCTGGACCCATAACAAACCATCTGAAAAACAAATTACAGGTGCTTAAAATTGTTAGTAATTTGTCTTACCATCTTGATGACTCCTAACTGCTTGTCTCTGATTTCTACAGCATGAAGCAATTGAGTGCATTGTTACATCTCCAACTGTTACAGCTCCCCCTTCCCCCCCCCCCCTTTTCCTGTAATTCCTCAATGAACTTCCCAGACACTCCCCTGGAACCCATTAGCCCTTAAACTCCCAGACATCATCATCATCATCATCATCATCATAAACTTTATTTCATCTCGAATTTTAGAGTAGCTTGTTGAAGCTTATACTTTCGCGAAAACATAAAATGGAGATTATCCACATATATTCATACATATATCTGTACAAGATCTAAAATACTAACTCTACTAAAATATACTAAAATACACAGTATTTAGAAAGTAACATAATTATGTAACATATCAGTAGAAATTAACAGAAAAGTGAAGATAAGCGGGAGCGACTATACAAAGATACGGCCTTTGTATAGTCGCTCCCGCTTATCTTTGTATAGTCGCTCCCGCTTATCTCATGCCTATACCAGATGTGATCAACATATAACTTCTCCTTAAAATATCCATACATTACCCAGCAAACAGGTAATGAGAATACTCAAACTTATCAGGTAGAAGTTATCCTGATCTAACACCAAATTCTCATAACTAATTTGAAAGGAAATGTGCAGCAGCTAGAGGGGAGAATTGATAATCAGATCTTGGAACACAAAACAATGACCCTGCCAGGGCTTGAACATGGACTGTTAGAGCCCCAGTAGTTAGAAGAGTGATAAGATTATACACCAGGCCTTGTTTGTTCAAAGGGTGTATTACACGACTCAGGCAGTCAGAGGGCCAATAACTAAAATTATCCAATCAAAATGCTCTATTGCCAGTCAATATTCTCTCAGTATTGGACCGGGCATTGTCCCGAACGGTCCCGAATGATACTGCACTTGAGTCCCTTTGAACTTCAGTCATATAATGAATCTCTTATTAACCAAGCTTGCTTGGGACCGTACTTGAAGAATATCGGCCTTCGGTCTTTTTTGTACGGACCTCGGGCTGATATTCTCCCAGTATGGCCCTCGCGCTTGGTTAATAAGATATATATATAACACTATCCACAGCATAAATTGCTATCCTTTGGACAGTGTAGCACATTTCAATAGCCCTTATCCACTGGATAGCAGTTACTGGTCGCATAGCCTTATCCCTTTAAACAACTTGGCCTAGAATGTGAACCACAAGGGCACTTGATCCACCAAAAATTTATCTACTTAAATAAATACATTCATCAAGCACTAAAAAAAAAAACTGAAAATTCTAAAATACAATGATTACCCCATCATGACCTTACATGACGAGCAGAAAAATTATCGCATTTTGATAAGTTCTTGACCCTTTCACTCCCAATAATTATATCTTATTCTTAATTCTCCTTAATTCTCCTTACTGTCTGTAATACAAATGTTTTGATGTTAGTTTGGAGAATTTGGTTTTGGATCAACCTATAATCCCCTCATTGATATTTTTCTTTATTTTCATCACTTGTCTCCTTGATATTGTGTTGACAAGGTAAGGAGAAATTCTGTCTTGGTCAGTCATGGGAGTTACAGGGATAATCAAGATCTATTGGACGACAGACACATACTGTCAGATGACATCACCATTAACAGTATTTTGCTTTTTTATCATGAGCTGCAGTTTGTCTGTTCAGTAATATATAAAGAACACACCACAACATGGTAAGAACATTAATGACACACTTGGCTGCACCTCCTCTGTGATCCATTACTGAAGAGATGCACAGCTACCTGGAAATTATCTCTTTGTTAAATATACATCACTATTAATTCTAAGTATATACTACTATAATTTATTATCCAACTACACTCTGTAGATTACAAATAATGCCTAAGACGAGTACAAATATCACGCAGTATTTGTACTGCACAGAACCGGTTAGACAGATTTTCTTACACTGCACAAGCAATGAATTGGATTGAAGTTACAAAAAAAAAATAGTGGACAGTTTAAATCATTTTTCAAATGATGAAGAGTTGGGATGGCTGGCAAATACTGATCCAAGTTTATTAGATACATCAAACAAAGAAAGGCAGTTAGATGATGATGAAATTTCATCATTTGTTGTGAAAATAGAAACAGCAACATGAAAACCAGCCAATTCTGTTCTGCTTCGCATACTTCTGTCACTCACTCCCCATAAACAAATATCCGCAAAATTCGTCCACACTGAAATAATAATTTAATTTGGCAAGTTGGATTATAACTCATTAGACATTTTGCTGTGTCGATATCACTGAGTATTTTTACTCATTATTTGTAATTTGACTTGCCCTACAGGCTTGTCAAAATATGACACAATTTGAAAAAATACTCAGCGATACAACAAAACAAAACATCTAATAAGATATAAATCCTCATCATCCCTACACAGGTAAAATAACAATATAAATACACTTTTTATTTACTCATAGCATTTTCTGTTTCATACCTATAAGGCGGTCTTCTCTTTTCTCCAGCAAATCTAAAGAGATCATCAGCAAAGAACCGTGGAACCTCATAATCAATCAACAACCTCTTCTTCTCAGCATGCTGCAAAAAAAAAAATTAACAAATTGTTATGTTTACCATGTTTAGACCAATCACTTGGCATAAAAATTTGTCTTCATATGTCTACATTCAGATAAATGAGGTAATCTCCACATTTTGGCAGCAGTTTGATTGAGACCAATGGGTCTACAAAGAAGTCCATGTTGTAAAAAAAAAAAATCGTTGTGGTCATATTCTCTGTTAGTTTTAATTGATCATGAACTAAAGAGGCTCAATTGTTAAACAAACTCTCTGTGTCTGAGCACCTAAGGAAATTTATTACACGACTCGGGCAGTCGGAGGGCCAATAACTAAAGTAAATCAATCAAAATGCTCTATTGCCGGTCAATATTCTCTAAGTATTGGACCGGGCACTGTCCCAAATGGTCCCGAAGGACACCGCACTTGTGTCCCTTTGAACTTCAGTCATATAATAAATCTCTTATTAACCAAGCTTGCTCGGGACTATACTGGAAGAATATTGGCCCTTGGTCTTTTTTGTATGGACCTCGCTGCACTCAGTCCGTACTGTCAAGACCTCGGGGCGATATTCTCCCAGTATGGCCCTTGCGCTTGGTTAATAAGATATATGTATAGAGAAAGGTATGAAGTGCACCCCTACTGATGTTAGGGTAGAAATGGTTAACACTTTCTCTAATGATGATCTGAGTTCATCATGGTCAGTTTTTTATGTTCTAATACCAGTCACTGATAAAAGGAAATCATTGACACAGGAATAATTTATTCTTCACTAGTTCACTAAAGCTCCTGCCAAAGAGCGGCCGTGAACACTTAAAAATTCCCACCACATCAGAAGTGAATACATTGGGGAGACAAACAATTATAAAACTCTACCAATAGTGTATTTAGGAAGTTATCTGCAGGTCCACTTTAAAAAATCATTAACCTTACCTCACCAAATGAACTGTCAAATATATACAGTGGACTGTCATCTGTTTGATGTGCCATATATTCAGTGTAATATTTCATTTTCATTTTCACAGCATAGCCTTCATCATCTTCACCAACTTTAAATTTCTGATGTCTGTACTTTTTGGCCAATCTCTATTGTGGCAAATAATAACAAATTGTTACCAGTTAGTTAAATATTAAGAAATATTGATGATAAAACCAAAATGTAGTATAGAACATGTGGGCAAGCACATTGGTTCATTACTGGGACACAGGGACATATAAAACAGCAAGGAAATAATGATTATACATCTAATAAATCAAGTCATACCAATTCTTAGTTTAAGAAAAGAAGGAAAGCTCAGACAAATCTTTTTAACAGTTAAAAAGTGAGGCTGTTACTGATGACGACAGCTGAAGTTCAAAAACTTGTGCAGAGGTTGTTATCAGAGTCAAATATTTGTCAGCAAAATGGTTTGTAAAAATTTTGTTATCAAATTTGTCCTGATGCTTTTTCCTGTAGAAATTTAAATATTATTTTAAGATCTGACCAGTCAATTTCCATCTGTCAGTAAAATTGGATCATTCTGCTTGACTTTGGGTTGATAGTTGTCTTATCTATTAAAGGGTTCCAGTAGTTTTTAACACCTTCTGGTGCAGAAAAAACTCAACAAGCACTTTATTCAATACAAATCACCTCTGTAGTCCACTTCCTCATTGATTTCCAGTGATCCATGGCATGTGTCAACACAACAGGAATTCTAGGTTTCTCAAATCTTTCTACAAATTCTGATTTTGAAATTTTATTGCAGTCCAGACGGGGAACATTGTCTCTGGTACTTGCAAGACTTGTGTCAAATGTCTCCACATAATTCAATTTTGTCCATTCATCTTCTCCTTTTAGTTCTAGTAGGCAAGATCAAACGCTCGTAATGAGTAACTTAAAAAAAAATTGCGATCTCTTCATTTTGTAAATATCTAAACAAATTCTGAACTACAATGCTAATTTTAATCATATTTATATTCTAAATAAGAACTGCTTTAAATTCATTTCTACAAATCGTGAATAAATTTATACTTCACGGCGATTCGACTTTCATTTCAGCCAATTAACAATGATAACATATTGACCTCTGCTTTTAATAGGCGCAGTATATTCATAAATAAAACACAGTAAACAAAGAATTTATCACTTCTAATTTCAAAAATGGTTAAACTACAAAATATAAGAACAAAAGACAGCGAGAAATAACAAAATAGAATAAAATAAACGATCGAAGAGTAGTTGACATATTTTGTCTCAAGCTCACCTGCTCGCGCCTTTCGCTTGGCAACGTCAACTCTTTTTTGTGCTTTTGCATCCATTAACATAGATTACTTAAAAAAGAAAAAACCTGACATACTATTTTATCTGCCTGCCATCTGATTTTCTACCTTGCCCCGAAAATTTGGGACCAAAACCCACAATTTCCCCTTGAAATGGTTAAGACCGAAAGCTGAAAATTATATAATACTGTGACAATGTTTTCGGTCAGCGGTTTTACGCTCTACTCAGTACCTCACCGCTATCTCTGACGCACTTGGAGATTTTTATAGCAAGTTTCTCTCAGTTTCCCCGACATAAATTCTTTTTTTGAACAAAATTGAAAGTTAAGGATCCTAGATTTCCACGAGCTTGCATCACATTCATATGAAAGCTCGCAGATTCGAAAGTATAAATTGATGTGGGGAAAAGAAAATTCTTTTGATGTAGCGAGGTATATCGCCCAAACAACCTCGTTCCCAGGGTCTTTTCCCTCAGCTAAACGTAGTGCCCCACCCCCAACTCCACCCCCAACTAAGAAAAAAAGGCCCTGGGAAACGAGGTTGTCGCCCTAAAGGTCCTTTCACTTCCTGCGTTTTGTCGCTTACAAAAATGACTTGATAGGTAAAGAAAAAATGACTAAAAAGTGTTGTAATTTTACTCAGAGTGCGCTGCAGCCGTCAGCTACTTAGAATGTGTTACGTAGACCCCCTGACTTATCAGCTCTCAATAAACGCAAAAATAACACAGAAAAAGTGTAATGGGCGTATACACACTGACTGCTGATAAATAAAGTTTGAACTTCGCATTGCACAAATACTAACTCAGTAGTTTTATTAGACCCAAATTTTCTGCGAAAATTAATCGTTAAATGGCTAGTCACAGCTGAGAAGTGGCATTCTCGTAACTCTTTTAGACAATGGACCACTTACGTCTAAGAGCAAATAATAGTAAATAAAGATTTGCCTATATAGGATTTCAATATCAATATATAATTTCATATCTGCTGCGTTCTAAAATAACCACATCATTGAGAACTATGCCCGACCGGAAGTCTCCGTTAAACAGTAATTTTATATTTTTATATTTTATTTATTATTTATTTATTATTTTATTTTTTATATTTATTTATATTTTTATTTTTTTTATATGATTTCATATCTGCTGCGTTCTAAAATAACCACATCATTGAGAACTATGCCCGACCGGAAGTCTCCGTTAAACAGTAATTTTTTTGGTGGTTTTGTTCGCCGTAATCCTCTAACGGGCTCAGGGTTTGAAAAAAGAAGTCCAAATTTATTCTTACGATGTGTGTTTTTATAGTTTCGTGATCACATATAAGTGTGGGAGAATATTGTGTGAATAACTGAGAATTGAATCTTGGAAATCAATCTATTTTGATATTCCGTCAGGAGAGACAAAGGAGAGATTTAGGAAATTATATACGAAATTGGATTAAGTAAGATAGGCTAACAATCTCAAGAAGTTCCTTCAACGACGGAAATCTCTGCGCCAGAAATAACCCTTGAAACCAAAATTGGATCGGAAGTTTCAGTTTAACAGCCTTTTTACTACGCATCTGTTTTTCGATTTTCTGCCGTAAACGAACTTGTTTGTAGAAAACAGTATAATGGTATGGACTGAGGATAGGAGGTAGGGGTGGGTGCGGGTGCATACCTCTGGGGAGGGGTGGGTAAAAGCTTCAATCAAATTGATCGTGATGTGATTTAGCAGGACGCCTAGCAATAATTGAATTATTGAAAATCTGCTGCAACTAGAGCCTGAAAAAAAGCCCCATTTTTTTTGTCTGAAAATTGTAAACTATGACCTCCAATAGGGTCGCAATCATGAATCATCCATCGCATCGCGCTTTTCTAAAGAGACCTGCCGTCTCCTTCCACTATTTTAGGGAACTGGTAGTATAGATATACATACTACACGAAAATCCGGAAGAGCTAAAGATTCAATTATGCAATTGAATTGAACGAGATTAGCCAATAATTCTATGAAGTTCCTCACTCAGGGAGATCCGTGTACTAAAAATAACCCACAAAACCAAAATTAGGAGGGAAATTTCCCTTTGACACCCATTTACAGGGGTTTCCGTTTCTGGGTTTTTACAACAATCTTAAATATTTTCATCAATGCCTGTATGTAGAGGGATGCGGCCTAGCAAACATGCGATCCAGAGGGACCAGCCGCCGAAAATCTGATAGACTCAGAGACTCAATTAAATGATTGGATTTTAAGAGAGATGAGCTTATACTATTCAAAGAAGTTCGTTTCACAATGAGATTGCGGAGGCTAAAATTAGTCCAACCGCAAAACTATAATAGGATTAGCAGCCCTCTTTTCCAACTATTCTAATCAAAGTAGTTGCCTTTAGAGCATAAGGAGGAAAGCGGAGGGGGCAGAGAGCTTGTTGAAGATTGGACCGGAGAGCGGTATAACAGCTACGTCTTAAATGTCATGTAAAAAAAAAAATATATATATATATATATATATATATAATTCAGTGCGAGATATAACTCCATGGGATGCAGGAAAATTCTCAGAAGGCTGTTAAAATATCTATTAGAATTGTTTTTACTAAGATTGCAAGACTCATATCCGTGGAGTGTACTATTTTTGTTATCATGTCGCTTTCTCACTAGGCGTTCTCTCTTCCCTCTTTTCCTCCCCGTCCAATCTCAACAACGAGACAAAGCAATGACATCGGCACGTGATTTAATCAATTTATTAACTGGAGTGTCCATTTCCGCAAATAATATATTCCTGGCAAAGCATAGCCTACACAATGGGAAAAATCACTGTGGTTCGGCGAGCGTGTCACGGCCAAATCCTTCTTTTCTCCAGACCGTTCACCGTCAGGTGAGGGAACCTTACTCAAGAGGATATTTACAGGTGGATACAGAATACAACATGGACCAAAAATTGCAGACACGGCTCCCAGCGTAGAGAAAGACCTGAAGGAGCTGGAAGATGCATGTGAAAAGAGCACACTAAAGTGTACAAGGAAATACCGCAAAGAAATGAAGTCCGGAACTTGGATTTCGGAGTAGGAAATTGAAAAATAATTGAACCACTCAAGTTAGACTTGAGCTCATACCAGAGGGATTGATTTTCTTTGTTAATACCTTCTCTCCTACTGATGTACATTTACGCCCGAGTTGTCGGCTTCCGGGAAACGGAAAGGAGTAACTGATGAGATTCAATGCCTTTGTTAAATCATCGAGGGAAAGTCCTGTTGATTGTTTCCTAAGATTCTCTCTTTCAGCTGCATCGCAACAATTTAAAATTGATTTTCCTGCCATGATCGATTGTGCCAACTACAAAACTGATAATAATCAACAATAAAGTCAATGAACGATAAAGAATTTCACTTTTGAATTAAGAATCAGTAATTAACCTATCGGCATTTCTTTTCTCGAGGTAGCATGTTAGGGCTACATCGATGCCACTTAACAGTTGCGACAATCACAGTTTCCCTTAAATTGTATCTTCCTTCGTATTACTTAGTGTTACGCTTCACATATTTTTTCCATGACGAAGTCTTGAGGTTAGTTGGAAGTTGAAAAGGCGACAAATAAGATGCACCGATCGACTGAATCATTCCAGTGGTGGCCCAGTAAGTAAAGAATGCTTGATAATTCTGAAAATTTTATGCAACTGAAAAATGTTTCAAGGCTCTGTTTCTTATATTAGAGATTATTGCCTGAAGCTGTAACAAAACTGATAACGCGCAAAATTACTGAATTAAATATTTTGAGCAAATTTGATAGAGCTGTTTACAAGGCGAGAGTATTGGAAACCAGCAATGTACACCTTGAATGGCGTCTTAGCATCATTTACTCGCTGTCTATACATATTCCATCAAACAGGTGATGAGCAAAACATACTCATCAACTTGGATATGTTTTGTTGATTTCTCGCCAGACTCTCTTAACAAAGTTTGAAAATAGTATATAGTAGCTTCTTGTAAGGAGAATTGAGAGCTAGATCTTGCGAATCAAAGTGTTGCTCGAAGTGTTCAGAGTATTCTTCTGACAAAGAGTCGGCCAAATGGAAGTGCTATCATCTACTGAATTTTATTTAAAAACAATTCATCATGAACATTAGAGCAGAACGGTTTACGGTACAACAAATGGCTCTACTTGAAAGCACTAATCAAGAGCTTTCGTTTGAATCACGCGGCATCACCTAGGAACAAAGTGAAAGCTGAGAATTGTGAAATGTGAAAGGGTTTTAAAGTATTGCTGACAAGTGTCGGACGATCAGTCACTCCTGTAAGAAAAATCCATGAGATGAAATCGCACGTCTTTGAGGTCGCTGAGCTTGACAATGAAATATGTCCGGGTCATTGATAACTGATTCGTGAAAAGGAAAAATTAAATAATATGAATAACTATGGACGAGACTCGAGGAGTCTCGGAGGTAACCGCTTTAAAGATGCGCTGTCAATCAAAACGCGGTGTGACTGCGCTGTTATCGACAAGTTACTCAGGTTTTATGTTCAACAGTGTTAAGTTTTTAAGTACAATTATTAGCTGCAAATTTTGCCAGTTTACCCCCCGCTCGAGAGCTAATCCTGTCGTTGCAACGCCCCGAGGACCCTCAGCAGAATGGTGGGTATTTCACATGGTGAACAAAGGAAAAAGCTCTTATGGAGGGATAAACGGATATCTCTTTTAAGTGGTTTTAATTAAATGTTTCCGCGAGCTTTTAGACGCCTCTGGACTGAGCTTTATATAGAGCCTTTTGTCAGCTGAATGTAATTATGTTATCGCTTCGTTGTTTTCTCAATTGACCCTGTGCAAACTGCAAAGCCGCTCAAATATTTAGAGATTTTTTTCTGTCCATTAAGTTGGCACAGAATAAATAGCATTGCGCACGCCATGAAGGAAATTACGTCTTTTTATGGCTTCCTGCCGGGAACTCCTTTTAAATAGGACGTTATTTATCCGACAAAACCGCTTAGGCAGGGCCCACTTGTGTTGTTCTAGTTTTAATGCGCTTTTAATACGCAATTCTTTAGAAACTGAATATGCTATTAGACAAAATACCGAGGTGTTTACGACTGCATTGGTTTCCTTAAATACCGGATTAGAATGTTTGGAATTTTGATTTAAAAGATAGACTACGTTGAAATGCGATAAAAGGATATAACTTGCCGACGACATTACCACCTGTCTTGGTCCTCGAGTCTTCAGATCAGCTTGTAAACATATGAAGCATTTCACTTGGCTGATTTGCGGGAGAAAAGTTGCAAGATGAAGAATGGAATAGAAATTATAGATGTTTCGTTAGACATTATTTTCAATCTGTTTGTTTTTCCGGTCTCGGAGTCATTTAGTTCTGCTATTCTTCAACAAATGAAGTGTGTTTTGTTGTAGACAAAAGCTATCTTTAAGAAACGTTTCTATCCCTATCGGATAACAATCGGGTTGAGTAGCTGGAGGAACAGGGGATGTTTTTTATCAAAACAGTTCAATCTTATCTCGGTAGAAATGTCTGTGGATCTTAGGGATGATCTCTGATTCACAGATAAGAGGAATACAAAAAGATACGATTGTCCATCGAGGTTCGCGTGTCATGCCAAGTTGCTCGTTCCATGGCGTTCAGTCAACCGCGTTAAAACGCTTTGATTTACATATTTGTTTTGTTCGAACTATTTACTAGCTGAGTCACAAAACGATCAAATTAAGAACAATGCGTTTACCACTACACATAAGTGATGTAGCATGTTAGAGAAGATTACACAAAAGCCAACGTGTCCAGATGTGTGTATCCCTTTACAGCGAATAGATTAATCCGATTACTTATTACGGCCCAAGTGCGTGCACGAGAACTGATAACCTTGAGTTAAACATCTTGAAAGTTTCCGACGCGATTTCCGTGCAATCCTTAGCCACTGAGAGGGTATTTGAGGCGTATTCGCAACTCTAGAGATGACCCCGTTTCGAGAAAACGACCAATCTTGATCAATATTTGTACAATTAATTTGAAATCAACAGCTCGGACACAAGAGGTACGCCATTTGCAAGTTAATCATGTTAGCAGTGTTTAGTTGCCTGGATCAACAAATTATTGCGAGATGTTTACTCAATCGGGTCCCCGCGGAGTTTTCCCACAAAGCTTTCGCGCCGCCCCCTCCAATCTGTCCCATGTCATTTGATGCGTTGACTTCAAACTCTCCAACAACGTTGTATTTCTTTACATGACAAGTTCCTGGCGAGCTTGATCGTCAACCTTTGATTTGGATCGTTTGCATGTCTTTTGTTGCAGCGTCTGAAAATGAAATTCGCGCAGGCCGTAATTCTCTTGGGGATTTTGCACAGCTTAATTTTGGGTGCGTTTACTTGTTCGCCGCCAAAAGGTTGGTTTCCACTGAACGCCACGACGCGAGTCAGAAAAGCTGACATAGTGATTTATGGAACTGTCCGGGCGAGCCCCAGACGAACATCGAAGAACGACCCTAAGGAATTGTACAGTGCTCTCTTTGAAGTTCACTGTACCCTCAAGGGAGGAAAACTGCATCAATTTATCAATATCTCGGGCTTCAGTGGCTTCGCTGGATTGTGTACGCACTCTACTGCATACTTAAACAAAACATACATCGCATTCATTCGTAGAGCTGTGAACTGGAAGACCAACACAACACGATTCCTTGTTGACGAACTGGATAACCTTCAAGAAGCGACAATCCCTATCAAAAAAAACAAAGGTGTGCTAAAGGACATTATGGAATTGGTTGGAAAGAATGCTACTTTGCCGATAGGAGCATCCAAGGAAACTTTGCCTGGATGTCCCAATTTTTTACCTCCTTGCAACTTTAACACAGGCAGAAACAACGGTAAACGGAGACTTTTTGTTCGGCATCCAAGATCACACAAGCATAAAAAAAGAAGACACAAGAAGTGTCATGATGTCACCATTCTGTCTACACAAACGACCAGCACGACAAAAAAACTGTCCACCAGAAAGAGTGATATGTCAGCAAACGAGCACACGGAATCAAGTTTGCTCTCAACGACAGTCAAAAGACACGTGGAAGTTAGATTTCTGCAACACAGTAACTCTATAAGGAATGCAGGCGTGCGGACACAAAATGTTTGTTGGTGTTTCGTGTTGATTTTTCACGGTTTGGTGTTCGTGGTGGTGAAGTGGCACCAGACTTGATATAATAGCTTTGCTGAGGCAAGGTAAACAAATTCCGACGCTAAGCGATGAAAGTGCTTTGGATACATGTTACATCGAAAGGCCGTGAATCACGATTCTTTCCCACGCGATATTCATTAGCTTCTCGCACAGAACCAATCGTTCTATTAGTAATCGAACAGGAAAGATCACCGATTTTTAAGTAGAACTCATTATTCAGTGCAAACATGCTACTTCAACTGGAGTGTCATTTACGACACAATTACCACGAACACTGCGAAACGGAAATGTACAATGTATATTAACACGTGTGTTCCTGTTTTACTAAATTACAACGTCAGGCGCACGTGTATTGCGCGGTTCCGACTGGTTTGTCTGTGAACTTGACGTGCAACAGGAAAAATAACCTCACAGGGTCTAGTAGACAAGTCTGCGATTTTAGAGCTTCCCCGGCATCGTTTCAGAACGAAAGCCGAGCTCAGCTTTTGAACTTTGTTCATGCATTTTGTAGACACATCTGTTGCGTCATTAAGAGACGGACAGGCTTCAGTTGAAAATCCAGTGATAGATATTAGAAGAGATCAATAACGTATTTTAATTCAACGCAGGAGAGAAATTGAACTTCGAAGCGACATTTTAACCAAAGGTCGCCTAAGAACATTTGTATAAGGCAGATCGTTTATTGTTTACAAATAACCATGTTTAAAAATCATTAAGGAGCCTGTAAATACTAATAATAATGAGAAATATTCGCTGACAAAGACTGTTTGGTTGAACTTCGACTTACGCTTAATCTTCCCAAGGCAAAGAACGATTGCGTGAAACCGCGACAAAACCACCTAATTTGAATACACTTGGTCTCAATGTGATACGATTAACGTATAATTGGAATCTAAAGCGACGGAAAACAGAGGAACAAAAACAATTTGGACAAGTTGAAGGGGTCTTAGACTAAAAGGCCAAAAAAAAAAACCGTAAACAGACATAGTAAGTGTAAGAAGATTTAGGAGATAGCCCTCTTTGTAGTGAGTAACGTCAAAGAAATCATAACTAATCTGTTAATTCCGTTTTTTTTATGAAGAGGGATTACTGTCAGTTTGAGGGCAAATTATCAGACTTTGATTAGTCATTATCTCATAGTGGCTCGATATTAAAAGCGAGTTTTCAAAGACTCTCCGCAAAATGGCGGCAACGGACACGCGAGATGTAATTAAAGTAGAATTAATAAGTCACAGCCGAAATTCTCGCTTTTTGATTTTGTATGTAAATAAACTGCAAAGTTTTGTTAACAGCCTTGGCAGCACCAACTGGATACGGATAGAAACTGTTTTCGGAAACTTGCATACCTTTTTCTTCAATCTTATTTTATTATCTTTTTTTTTTACTTACGGATTGTAGAGGTTTAGTCTGATCATAAACTAAGAAGGGTTATGTGATCGAGTTCAGAAATAATTAAACAGGTGATATTAGCCTTTTCAAACCAAAGGATTACCAAATGATTCGAAGCCATGCAGTTACCACTTTTCAGATGCTTTAATGACTGTGTCGTGGTGCGGAAAGGAGTGTTTAACCCCCATCTGGAGTGACGAGGTTTCTTGCTAATGAATACTTAATTTTCTGGGAAATTAATCGCTTTGTATAGCTATTATTTGCACTATACAATGCCGCTTTTCAAGCCTAAAACCGCATGATTACGGCCATGTTGCGCGAAGTTACAGGGGGCTGTCTCGTGTCTCATTAGAGCAGTTTTATTCCAAAGCGTTTAGACGAAAAGCGCTCAGCTTGAAACAGACGAGCTGCAGAGAAACTAGCGGTTTGCGTGTTGAAAACCCGACAAGTAAGCATCGACAAGCTGAGGTTCGACAGAGCTCTTGAAATACTTGGAATTTTGCACATAACTGACTCAACGTACATAGAGAAAAAAGGTAAAGGCATCTTTGAATCTGTAAACAAAAAGACTTGCTTGCTAAATAGATTACGATTCATACCCAATAAAGCGAGAGCAGACTTAAAGTGAGTAAAACGAAATTCATGATAATGATGCTCAGAGAAATTATATAATTGATAATATTTATAACAGGAAATGAGTGCTAGACAACAAAAGATGGAGAACAACGGCCGAGTTCTCTGCTAAACGAGCCGATAACGGTGGAAGATTTTTGGCGTCACGTTTTGACGCAAAAGATATCAAAAACCATGAACTTGGAAAAGCACCATGAGGGAGATACGAGACCCCGCTGGAAACTTGAAGTTAAATTCAGTCTTTCTGTTGAAAAAAAAACAGAACAAAAAAGAACAAAAATGCCTATTGTTGAAAAAAAAAAAAAAAAAATTAAAGTGAACGCGTTACGTATTTCCTTTAAGATGAGACCAGGCTTGGCAATGTCAACAATGATTTGTTTAGAGTTAAAAGGCTTTCATTGTTATTCAAACGTTAATTTTCTTGTTTTAACATTCCTGAGCTGCACATGATGCATAACGAATTGAACTTGGAATAAAATGACAGACACTGATGCTGCGAATACTACATAGTTAAAGTTAACTATTGAAAGACCGCTGCTGTCCAGTGGCCCCCGCCTTTAGACGCGCGGTTGGCTCATGCGATCCGTGAAGACCTTAAACGTGATTCGGTCGACAAATCCTCTCTCTGTTTACTTAGTCATCAGGAATCATGCGTAACGTTGATTTGGAGGTTGGAGTCTACTGATAAGTGGAACGATTTCTATCACAATAGGAAAATATTTTTGTAGAAAACTACAAGACTCTTCTAACTTCAAGATTCACTTTTCATTTAGAGAAGGTGCCGGAAGAATTTCCGGTTTGCTCTATAACGTCATAACCCGACAGGAAGTCGTGTCTTCTTCTTAGCATAAAATAATTTTTATATGAAAAAAAAAATTTAATGCGGCTTTTGTGTTTGATTGAAGCTTTCCAACATTTGGTTAGGCCAAGAGATTATAATCTCTCGGTTGGGTTTATGCGCCAGAAAATGTTATGGGCAATAAGTGTTTTAAGCGGCTTTATTCAAGACTCGACTGATATGAAAGTGGAAACGTTTGCGGAGCCTCGTTAGCCCCCCTCCCACCCCACTCTGGGTGTAAATACAGTGAGGTATCCGCAGTCCTTTCCTTCATTATATGCAAAACTGAAATGTTACAACCTGTCAATCATGAAATGGCTTACTTTGGACGAGCGAAATAGCACTCTATAAGGGACTCGTAAATATTCATCCTCATCGTTTGAAAAGAGATTAACCATATGCAGTTGAAACTTCACGATGCACACTGATAGTGACAAAATAATAGGGCAGACGAGGATTATTATCAATGATAAAATTTTTAGTTATTTACGGTCACAAAATGTGATGTGACCGGAGACCGTTCCTTTAAGATAATTATCATCCTGTGCTAGATGTGCAGCTTTGAAGTCAATACATCATATAAGAAATGCACACGAATAGGATCATTAGAAGACTCGAACAGCAGGCATGCGCTGAACCCACGTAAGGTTTACACATGGCATGGTCCTTCTGATTGACGTTGTTGATAGGCAGGTGAGCATTTCGACCAATGGCTTCAAAGATAGGTTCTAGTTCGCTTTCATCCTCAATCTCTTTAAGTGCAGGTTGGTAGTTCACGCGATAAATCCTGAATTGACCTTTTTCATCTGGGATTTTCTTCCTATGGAATGAATCAAAATTAAGTTAGCTTCAAAAGGAGTCAACCATTGATGGTCTCGTAGTTTACAGGGTAAGCCAAGAGCTTGGGAGACTAACAGTTATGCACTAACTTAATTCAAGACCAAGATGACTAAATTCGAGCCCTTTGCAAGTTTTTCTTTGACCATTTTGCTTGCATAAAGTGTATAATTGCTAATTCTTGACTTGAAATTATTTGTATACATCACTGGTACGGTCAAATTTGAAAAATTGTTGGCAAATTAAAATGAAGTAGGTCCGTCTGAAAACTAGTTAACTGGTAAATGGAGTGAAATTAACTGAAGAGAATTTGTAAATTCCCCAATGATGAGACGAGCAAGTACAACTGAGAAAGGCTGCAAAATAATAGAACGTTCTCAAGAAACAATTCATTAACTTAAAATGCTGGTTAAAGACTCTTAGCGGGTTGGAATTGAAAAGTAGTCAAGTGGTTACCGGCTTTCAATTCGGAGCACTGGAAACTGTACTGAGGCGAAATAGCTTTTGAAAGAGCTCAGACAATGAAAGAGTCTATGGCGCAATGGATGTTACTCGCTCAGAGTGAAGAAAAAAAACCCCCAACGATCCCGATATAAATATTTCAGGAGAAAGAGCTTGTTGTTTAATCAGTCTTAACATATAGAAACATAGCTGACAGGACAAAAAGAGCGATGAAAATCATTCTCCAAAAACTTTTACATGATGTACGCTGTAAAGAGCTGCAGGTCTCCATGGGGTTACATATAGAGGAACCATCATGGAAAAGGCCTTTCTGTGAGAGACTGAGAATTCGAAATGAAATTCGCAAATTCGCTTGTCGATTCTCAAAGTTTTAATGGAAGGAATACATCTCAGTGTGTTTCTATGATATCTTTACTGAGGAAAATTATAACTTCGCATTAAAATTTAAAGCGCCTAAGTGAGGGTAAGTAAGTTTAAGAAATCTCTCACGAAACTTCAAGACGGAAAATACAACTGCAGAATTTACAAAACTATAAAACTTTACCTTCCAATGAAAATAAGATACTTTAACATCCTATACGCGTGATGGTCGTGGTGCGATTCATCCAGACAGACCCCTTCTCCATGACCAAGACCCTCCAGATTAACCAGCAGAGGAACTGAGCCTCCTTTTAAGACACATAAAACCTTGATAATGGCGTCATAGTATTCTGTGCTACAGTTGTACGGAACGTCTGTGATAGGCAGAGTCGTCGTGTTGACCGTTGCATTTTCTTCTTTCGTTGGCGAAGGAGTTGTAAGGAACCCTGTCGTGTTGCTTGTTGTGTTCGTGGAGTTGACGCCGCTTGGAACTTGAGTTGGCGTCGTCGTGAGTGGAGCGTTCGTTGGTTTTACAAAGCCAGGTTTCCAACACGGACTGAAGAAAACTTCCCCATAGATGACAATGTCGGACTGGATAGCACGCTCCAATAAGCTCTTCCTTCTCCAAGTTTTGCCTTCTTTTGGACTTTTACAAACGGCGTCGCTTGTAGGCAGCAAAGACGCGATGAAGAATAACATTAAAGCAACTGCCACAGCGTGGATCGACATCTTGTTATAAATTTAATTCTGCGTGCGAGGAAGTACAAGATCTGCATTAAAATCGTCACTGGCTAAATAGAGAGATCTTGATTTTTTTTTTTTCCTGTTTACTAGCTTGCGGTACTCTGTGACTCAATCTGCCTAGCTATTTACATTTCCATAATGCGCAGCGATGCTCTCGCATCTGCAAGTCACCTGTTGTGTGAGGCGTCCCCTAATACTAGTTACTTTTAATCATTAATGAACAACCTGCCCTGGGTACGTACACTTAAATTCCAGTGTATTTGGCAAAAAAAAAGAGAGTTTGGTCATTTTACCGTACCGGCGTAACTCTTACGAAGAAGAAGGCCGCTGACGATGGGCCAAGTTTACGTCTACAGTTATGAGTTTCTCTCCTCTTTATTCGAAAAATTGTTGCGAAAATCTTAAATGATCAGAAAAAACAAGAATCGTTAATGGACAATTATTTTAAGATGTTATCATTCGTCATTTTCACTTATGGTAGACGTAAAGTAACTGAGTGAAGTTCTTCACGATTCTTCTAGGGAAGGGATCGCTTCCTGCGATAGAAAAAAAATTGTTTACAATATTTGAATTATTAATCATTCACTATCTGCCTGTTGTACGTCTCCTAGTTCGCGTAGCCAGCACTTGCATTCTCCAGTCCTAAGGCCTCGGGTTCACTGCGCATGACCTGAACGATGTGAGCGATGTTTTCGTCGTGTGTTATGCGTTGTAGAGAGCAGCGTTGGGGTCGACATAGCCTGTGTGCCGATAGCACTCTAATAGCTTCTTATGTTTTTTCGAGGCTCCTGAAAGCAATTGTGCCGTTCAAACAGGGTAACAATCATATATCTAAGGTCATCTAAAGATTTCTTTACTCTCCTCTTTGTTGACACTCTTTTCTTATTCCTTAGTACACGACACGTAATTTGCTCACAGCATAAGGCATTCATTTGTTTGATTTGTTGGCCATTTACATAGAGAAGTGCCTCTCTTTCTCTCTCGATCTCTGCCCTTCCCCTGCTATGTCCCTCTGTCCCTTTACAATTGAAACCATTATTTTATTTCATCTTCTGGCTGTGAATAATGTCTCTTTCTTTACTAGTGGCAAGCATTGCATGCAAGAAGGTTCGCTCAAGGTTCTCTCATGGCTGAAAAATCGCAGTTCACTTTTTGTATGCAAGAGTCAGAGTGATTTATCTATTTCTCCCCCCTCCCCCCGCCATTTTTGCTTTAATGTTGATATTCACCAGATAATAAGATCATAGAAACAGCTACAGTGAGGTTCTTTACTGATGGGAATTCATGAGAAGTTTATTTCATTGTAAAAATGAATAGAAATTAAACAAACAGGATCTTGTACGTACATGAACCGTTTGATGTCTGAGATCACAAAGACAGCAGTAATTGGCAAAAATAACATTCTACATCGGACCCTGCGTTTACAAAGTAGACTCTATTGTACAGAGGCTTTCGATGAGTCACTTTTGATACTTTGTAAATCTGTGATTAGAAGGCAAATTTTACGTAGCCATGTCTAAAGCAGCAACAATGATGGCCTTGTTAGTCAGGGTAACCGAAGAGAAATATTTTCATGTCATCACAAACGGTTACCTTGGGACTCTTCCACCTTTCTCAGTAACGATCTTGTGAGCTATTTTTGTCCTCTTTTTGTTTCTTAATTTTATATTTTAAACAAACGAGCTCCATTTCCAGTATTAGTATTTAATTTTAAGTCTGTCATTTAACAGCTGGCTCTTCTCGCGCTGATTGCCTAGAAAGAGTCGAGTCGCTCTCTAAAACATTAAGTGACCCGTAAGAAACACCCACATATTTCGAAGACATGTTTCGGCCTATATCAAAAAAATTCCGAAGGCAAGCACCAACAGTAGGAAAGAATATTTTATGTAGTGTGTCGATGCACCGCCAACGTATGGTACACAAATGCTATGAGACTCTGACACTCCCTCAGGGCTGTGCGCATGACCGCCAACTGCCGCGAAAACGGGCTCTAGATACTTCTCATCTATAATTTCCGTGGCTGCTGATTGTAGATTGATTTCACGTGGCCAAAAACTGTTGGAATCACCATTCCCTTTGTGCCTAAAAGAAAAGAAAGGAAAGTCAGTGCCTAAGGAACTTACGCACTTGCATTAATACTTCTATTCACCTCACGAAAAAAGGCCAAACATCAATATGCGGGAGGGAGATATAATAATAATAATAATAATAATAATAATAATAAT